CCTGTGATGATTTTTCATAAAGCCAAACACCAAATATTGGCTTTCTCTTGTATTAGAAAATTAATAAATAGTTTTGCAATGACCTGAAGTCTTGGATAAAGAGAATAAATAAATTATTGACACATGAGGAATAGACAATTCTCCATCCACTGTTGAGATTTTTATTCTTTGTGGAGCAGATGATCTAAATAATGCAGCCAAAAATAACAGGTAGGTTTTATTGCATTAAGCCATTAAAAACATTAAGCATCTACAGTTTAAATCATGTTCAAAATAACAAGCCTTAAAATAACTTTGGATTTTTTTACACTTGTGAAACACCTTTGCCCATTTTAAACAATATCAAAGCACAAAGAATAATGTGTAGATGAACATATACTTAGGGACAACACAGAAGAGACAGATTGGAAGAAACAGCTGCTCTTTATGGAGATGGTTTAACATAGGGCTGTTAAATCATGTTGGTAGACTCAACTGATATGGATGACATCACCTTTTCTGAGGCCAAACAAAGCTTGGGTCTAAGTTGTTGTTGCTTTAAATCTGATCTGATAACCTCACATGTTCTACACATTTCCATTTACCAAATGGAAGTCAACTACAAAGAACTCAAATACATTACTCCTCCTATAATTGTCATATGCATTAGTCCAAGTATAATTCAAATTGAAGTCTAATAACACCGATTCAATATTTTATGCATTTATCATATAATAAATGTTTACATAGGTCAAGGAAGAGTCTGTGATTTAGGAAGGGATAAAGTAGAATGTATTACCTGGGTTATCAATTGAGGAGATAATATAACTGTTCAACATTGTTGTGTTTTAAAAATGTATTAGTACATTATAGTTATACATAGTATTGGAGTTCATTTTGATATAGTCATAAATATATATATATATATAAAATAGTTTGCTCCATTTCAATCCCCAGTACTTTTTATCCATCCCCTCCTCCTACCCTTGATCCTCCCCCTCTACTCTTTTGGTCTTCCTTCTATTTATTTACTTATTTTTAATAGATACACCGTGTTTTCATATTCAAGAGGACTGCATGGGATGACTTGTGGCATACAGGCACATAATTTAATGCAGGTACATAATTTACTCCCTAATTCTTCTCCTTTCCCTCCTTTCCTCCCTTCTAATTTTGAGATGTATGGTATTAAGTTATAAATAAGATGTGTTTTTTCACTTTAAAAACTTTAGATACCAAGTGAAAACTACATCTTTTTATCTGTCTTCCCCAATATCCTGCTTCCCTGGAATAACTACCATTAACATTTCAGAATCTGTGCATTTACCTTGACAGTTGAATAAATGCTCAAACCATTAAGTCTATAGTGCATTTTAAGAATCCCTTAAATTCATAAAATATCTTCATCCTTCTTGAATAATTTAAAATCATAGCCACTTTCCTGGATATGAAGCATGCATATATAAAAAGTGGGATTATGTCTTCACTTAATGTTTGTAACTTACTTTATTAAAATTCCACATTGTCCCATAGTCTTTCTTTAGTATCATACATGGAGATTTACTTCATACTATTCAATATCCTCTCTTTAGATGAATCCTAGTTATTTTTCAAAAGATGGGTAGTTGTTTAATTTCCTTGCTTAAAGACACACTTTGTTATGCAATTGTATCACTATTTGTACAGGTAAAAGGAAGACATGATATATCAAAGACTTCATAGACTTTTATTTAAATGCATTTTGGAACATCCATTTTAAAAAAATCTCAATGTCTTATACTTTCAATTATTCATATTATTTTTAATAGTATTTGCTTCTTTAGGGGGAACTACATTGTCTCTTGTTCTTGCATCTTAGCCTGGCTGCACTTGGGCATCAATGAAGACCTGTGTACTATTAATAGTTTGTAGGGCAAAAAAGAGGATATAGTAGAAGAGAAAAATGTTCAAACCTTGAGTCAAGAATACAGAGAACATTGGTACTGCCATTGAGTGTAATAATACAATTAATTAGTAATAAATAGTGTATTTTTGATAAATCACTAGATAAATAAATATGCCTCTGGGGTTTTGATTGTCAAACAAAATCTATCTTATGTAATCTCAGTTCAAATTCAGATACTTGGAAAAGAAAATGTAGGGTATAAGTATGTGGTAGGAGTGTAATTGGCAAGAGATAATTTCAGAAAAAAGATATGGCATGGCAATATGCTATTATGGTAGTCAGAATGAGACTAGATAAATGAGAAGAAATGGAGAAATAAGAGGGAAAGAAAAAGGGGAATTTGATCCTTGAAGATACTGAAAGATTGAAAAGGAAAAAGGTATACTATATGTAGAATATAGAGGTATAATTTTAAGGTGCAACTCCCAGCCTTGTCTCCCCAGAATCAAAAGACATGGTATGAAAACAGATATAGTGGGATTGGGGTAGGAGAAGAGTAGAACTAGTAAATCACAATGACTAAGGTCTAGCCAGGGCCAGGCACAGAACAAAGAAGATGGGGTACTCAGCAGATTCTTAAATTGACTAGTGCATATTTTGGCTCTACTAAACTATGATAAGCAGCTGCAATTTGATTATTTGTATATAGGTTTTGGACTCAATGAAGCAAACATATGTTCCCAAAGAATGAACTGAGTCCAAGAAAGATCAGTCATTCAGCTAAGGAGGAAAAGCCAGACCTGGAGTACTCTCTTCTGACTCACTGAGCTGGATTTCCCTTAGCTGGGATCATACTGTCTAGACTCAAGAAAACCTCCTCTTTGTAAGTAATATTAGAATCAAGGCTAGATACAGAATAATAAGCATTTGTTGGTCTATTTTTTCTTACTGTGTCCTGGAGTATTTTATATTTTATTCCAAATTCATTTATAAATATATACTTTACATATGTACCTCAATTTCATATTATAAATAAAATTGAGAAAAGAACTAAGAAATTCTCCTTTCTCATCAAACTTGCATTCTAGCAACCTCAAGCCTACTTTACCTAGCTATTTTTTGACCAGTAAAGATAACTGAATTCGGACTGGGGCTGTAGCTCAGTGGTAGGGTCCTTGCCTCGTATGTGGGAGGCACTGGGTTCAATCCTCAGCATCACATAAAAATAAAGATACTGTAAAAAACTAAATAGAGCTTTAAAAAAAGATAACTTAATTGTCAAGAGTTATTTTGGTCTATATGAGGTTCAGTTGTATTCTCCACATGTTTACACTTTCTTGAGATGTTCAAGAAAATGAGTAATTGTACTTTACCTGCTTAGTTCATTTAGAACAATATCTTCCAAGTTCATCCACATTGTCACCTACTGCAGACTTTCCTGCTTTATTAAGGATGAATAATGGCCCATTGCATGCATATATCACATTTTACATGTGATATTTAAAATATTCCAATTCATATAAACAATGAGTAGAATGGTGTTTTCCAGAGGCTGTCAGGAAGGGAAGAAAGAGACTTGTTCAAGGACTCTAAAATTTCAGACAGTAAAGATGACTAAATTCCAGAAATAATTTGTAAATTATTATATCTATACTTAACAATACAGCATGTTGAACTTAAAAATTTCGTTAAGGTGATAGATCTCATGTTTTGGTTCTAGTTACCACAGTGAAAAAAAAGTTCCAAAACAACGGAATAGGGACATGAAAAACTTTTGGAGGTGATGGATATACTTGTTATCTTGATAGTGAGATAGAAATAGGTACGTATATATTCAAACTCACCAAAATGTATATATTAACTCACAATAGCTAAACTATAGAACCAATGTAGATGTCCTTCAACATATGAATGGATAAAGAAAACAGGGTATGTATGCACAATGGAATATTATTCAGCCTTAAAAAAGAATGAAATGATGGCTTTTGCCTCTAAATGGATAGAGCTGGAGAATATCTTGCTAAGGGAAATAAGCCAATCCCCAAAAAAAACAACAGTCAAAGGTTTTCTCTGATATACAGATGCTAACTCACAATAAGGGGTGGGAGTAGGGAAGAATAGAGTCACTATGTATTAGGCAGAGACAAGTGAAGGGAGGGTAGGAGAACAGGGGTAGTAAGATAGAATGAATTGGTCATTATTACCCTATGTGCATATATGACAACGTGACTTGTGTGATTCTACATCATGTACAACAAGAATGAGAAGTTATATACCATTTATGTATGATGTGTCAAAGTGCATTCTACTGTCATGTATAAATAATTAGAACAAATAAAAAGTACATACTAAATATACGCATTTTTGTATATCAGTTATATCTCAATAAAACTATTAATCAATCAAAATGTCTTTCCTTATTTACATGTTTTGCAAAAGGAAAGTGAAGGTGGTAGGATGGCAGGAATTAAAACTGCTAACCATTACAAAGGCAAATATGGTCTTACCCTCTTATTTTCTATTACATCCCAGCCAGCTGCCCATCCCTGGGGAAGGTAGCTTTTGGTTCCTAATCAATCTTTATTGGCATATGTACATGCTCCCTGGGTCTGTATTGCCAATCTCCATGGCAAATTCATGCTTCCCACTAGCTACTCAAGGAAATTTCTAGGGTGCAGTGATGAGCATGTTTGCACAAACATTGGCTTCTCAAAGATTGTACCACATGATGCAATACTTTAAAATATTTGTTTGTGTCAATCAGGATTTCATTGTAGCCTCTTCTTTCTTTCCCTTACTCTTTCTTTTCAAGGTGCTAAACACAGGTATTTTGTGTTAGGACAGCCTGAGTTCAGTCTTGCTTCCATCTACTGAGTAAATAGTAGTGTAATTTGTAGTATATTTTAAGTCTCAGTCTCCTTAAGAAGAAGGGTAAACTTAATTCTTTTGTGTGAAAATTAAATTTGATCACAAATGCAAAGTGATTGGCATACTATTTGACATGATGATACATTTAGGTCAAGTTGGTTGCACTGAAAACTGGCAAACCAGGCAGGTCAGGCTGAAAGTAGCGAACACAGAGAGTGTCCCAAAGCAGTGGAGAACTGCAGGAACTGCTAGGTGCAGCTGTCAGATGATCTCCAGGGAACTGTTGGAAGTAGCTGGCTACTGATCCCAAGAAGGCAACATGAGAGTTGCTACCACTAGGACCTGAGGGTTCTTGACATTCAATCTCAGGGCTATTAACACTAAGATCTGAGATCCATCAGTTAGTCCTCAAACCTCAGAGCTGGGAGATGTTCTTTGCCTCTTTGTGACTTCTCTTCACAACAGGCCCTCAGATTATTGATAAGGGAGATGTTTAAGGGGCACAGATCATGGAGAGATGTAAAGAGAAGATCCCCTAAACCAAGAGAGGCCTTTTCCATGGGGTGATGAGTTGGGTTTTGGGATATTGTCTGTTTTCTCCCAGGATTGGGGGGAGGAGCAGTCAAAATTTGGAAACAAGACCCAATAGATGGATGCTTGTGCGTCCTGGCAACCCCAGTTCTCCCATCTTGGTTCTCACTGCATGGAGGTGCACAGACAACGTGGCAGAAGGCAGCAGCTGGAGAAGATTTTTTCCTACCAAACTGCCTTTATTCCCAGTGACAGTCAAACAAGGTACATCTTCCCACCCAGGATTGAACATTGTGAACCCTCCTCTCAATACCTCCCACAGGCCCTTTTTTCCTGACAACCTACAGGAACTGTCCTGTGTGAGGAAGAACCTTTGGCCTTTCCAGCACAGGATGAGGCAAAGGTGAGATCTTGCCTGAGGGGCAGCCACCCCAGAGGTCACCAGCCACCAGGACTGTCCTAAAGGCCTCTTCTTCTTTTGGTTGCCCAATGACATGCCCTTCCTCTTTTGAGGCTGTGAGGTTCAAACCAGCTCCAGATCCACATCTTGCCCTCTTGTGGCCTGGAGGGGAGACCCAGAGCAGGGCATCTTTTCCACATTGCATGAGCATCCAGTGAGAGCACTCTTCATGGACATGGCACCTGAAGGAGGGTGGCAGCTGAGGCGTTTTCTTTGGGGAGGTGGGGCCTGGAGGGCTTGATCTTCTGAGCAGAGGCTTTCCATTCTAGGAGTCTGGCTCTGCGACAGTCCCCAGGGCAGTAGGCACTGCTTGGAGCTAAGGAGGAAATCCAGGCTTTGGAGGTCATTGTTCACACTATAGCCATTGGCTGTCTTATGTAGCCATCCAAATGAAGTGGCTTTTCTGGGACCCACCATGCCTTTGTTTCCCAGGTTTAAGGAGAAGGATCTGTGGTTCTGGGGAGGATGGTTGGAGTGGATGTCCCCCAGTGAGGAAGACCAGTGATGGCCTTGGAGGATAGCAGTGTCCTTCTCCTCTTCACAACCTGGAAAGCCACATCTGTGGACCAGTCCTCTATGCTGGCCCCTTGATCAGTGCAATGTTTCTGCTTCTCTGCACCTTGGTTGGCAGCTGCCTCAAAAGATTTTTTGTCCAGTTGGAACATACCATGAACTTGAGGCATCTGCAAAGGTGCTTCTTCACAAGATAAAGGAGGATATGGACACTGGCCAACTCTTCTTCATGCATGAAATGGGCCATAGGGACTAGGACAATCATATTTCAGTGGGAAGTGGAGCTGTCACTCTTCTTATTCTCAGAGAGACACGCTGAGTGCCTGCTGGCCACCCTCCTGGGCTTACTTTCTGCTTGATATCCTGAGCCTTTCCATGGCTCTTGTGTCTCCTTCCTTTTTTTTCCATCCTACATCCTGTGTCCTGGAACAGACTCACTCAGGAAGCCATCACAGGATAATGACAATGTCCTGTGGGCCACATGAGTAAGGTCCAGTGCCTTCCTCATCTACCTGCTATCCCTTGCTCCCCTCTCCACCTGTGGTCACTCCCTTTCCTGTATATTTGTGTCCCTTTGTCTCCTAGTCTGCCATGTATTGCTCTGTGCCTTGGTGTCTATTCTGAAACCCTGGTAAACCTTGTGTCTCTACCTCTTTTGTTCTACCTGGTGCCCCTTTCTCCTTGTCTACCTTTTGTTTCGTCCCAACCCCTGTTGTTCCTGGTGTCCCTGCACTTCTTTATCAGGTGTCCCTGCCTCTCTTCTGTATCTCCTACCCCTGGTCTACTGGGAGACCTTCCTTCTGCTTTCTATCTGGTCAGTGGTGAGTCCTTCCTGCTGCTCCAGCTTTTTTGTTATGGCCAAGATATTTATATGTGGTTTGGAGGAAAGTAATTTGATCAGGCAGCAGGGATGAATCATATTCTCTACCTGGGAATGAGAAGTAAGAGAGTGTGAGTGACCTTGGGAGAAAATGGCCCCAAGTCAGGAGTTCTTCTAGGAGAAAGAGGAAGCACTAACAATCCCATGCTCATCTGCACCATGGGGTTGTAATATCCCAACTACCAGCTACACCCATATACGAGTCCACATGTGTGCATACACATTCTCTCTCTTACACACACACACACACACACACACACACACACACACACACACACACACATAAAATGCTGAGATTCTAGGCCAGGAAGCTCAATTTGGAGGAGGATGTTGGCACTGGAAGACCCCTGACAACTGCATCCTTGGATTCTCTATCTCCTCTGTAGCCTCAAACTCCATGAACCTTGGTGGGATTGGGGTAAGGGAGGCACAGGCTGAGCTGAGAATCAGGTTAGCCATAGAGGGCAGATGCTGGTGTGTGATTCTAGGCTATGGAGTATTCTAAGCTACCAGTCAGGAGCTGGTGTCAGGGATATGGAGCTGTGTTCTGGGGTGGGTCAGGCCAGTCCCAGGAGGGAGCTGCTACACAGGAATAACAGCCATTCTCAGGAAACACTACATCAACTATTACCTGAAAGGAATCAGATATGAGGGACCCAGACAGGGCTCCTAGCTGTCCCTAGTTCTAGCTCTCTCCTGTTTCTTCCAGGAACCACACAATCATATTACTTCTAGAAACTGGTCAGGGATGTGATTTATTTCAGGGAATATCAGGGGTCCTGAGACAAATCAGGGATATTGAGGCTGGGACCATGGGCCTTGAAAGGATCCCCTGGGAGACCAAGTTACAGGCAGGGTCATGTAGAAATGGAAGCTAAGCTGAGATCATTGGGTTGCTTCCAATGAGGGCAGGTTCTTCCTTTCCCTTGTTAGAATGGCAGGGATTGCATAGAGCAAAGGGAATAAAGACCAGACACATATCCTCGGGGCACCTGAGGTGCTGGCTGGCCATGTCCATGCACTCCCCACCACCACTCTCTTCTGGAACATCAGGCTGAAGTAATGGACACTTTCATGAGTTATAATTGACCCCACTCCATAAAGAGTTACCAGTGCCCAAGCAGGTGGTCTGAGTGAATCCAGTGCTACTTTTCCCCTCTACAGAGCCAGCAAAGCAGAATCAGACCCTCTTGCTGCACTGGTTATTCCCTCAATCCTGATCCTGAACCACAAGGCAGAGTTGGAATCAGGAGTATGGAGCCTGGAGTTTCTGGGATTGTTGCAGAGAGAATGCCCAGGCCTCCAGCTAGAGGGAGCTACTATTTGGAGAGCTAGATGCCTTGGAGCCAAACATAGGTAGGTAGGTGACAGGATGTACCATACCTTGCTGTGCAAACCATGGTCGCCCACCAGTAGGCTGGTGTGCTGCCATTCCTGCAAATCCTTCCACAGGCCCTCTCCATGGTCATGGTGGGCTCCCGTCAGGACAGAGCCTGAAGCACTGGGCTGGAATTCACCAGGATCAGTGTCCACGAGGTCACTCTTCTTTATCAGCAGACCAACAACATAATTTCCTACCTTTGTTACATTTGCCCCATCATGTTCAACTCAAAGTATCGATATTGGGACTCCAGGACACTTACACCAAACATGAA